AGTTATGTAATCGCCATAAAGTTACAGAGGTTGGTTTAGGAAGAGAAACGTAGAGGCACGTCCCACTGGTAGGAGGCCCCGGGGCAGACCCAGAACACACAGGAGGGATTATATATCTCATCTGGCCTGGGAACACCTTGGGGTCCTCCAGGAGGGACGTCTGGCCCGCTGCCCTCACAGCCCAGCCTCGGCTAAGCAGTTGAAAATGGATGGATAAATCTTTTTGCTCTCAGTCTCAATTTTCCCTGTGATATCAAACAAATCTAACATCACTATTCTTCAAGGTATTGAAGTTATAAATTCAACACTTTTGTCTGACAGCCCAGAATTCTGTGTATTTATTATTTGTCTTTATTTATTCATTCAACGTTTGGCTAAAAACACTGAACGCAGCACATCTGGTTCTTGAGCCGTTAGCTTGTTTGCAGTCACTTGACCATTATGACCCACGAAATTCAGATTGAGAGCAGGAAGTGATCAATCTATCGGACGTAGAGGAACAAGACCACATCAGAGTGTTGGATAAACCTGCAGGCAGCACGTAACGTCAGAAAATCTAAACTCATGTTAGATGCGATCCATTAAAACGAAGAATATAAAGCACATTTCAAAAATGAGTTACAAAGTGATTTACATGTTAATAATTAAAACACACAAGACACGAAAATAACAACTTTTAAAACAACTGATAAAAGTCCGTTTTAAGAAGAGACTTGAGATCGCTGACTCTGCCGACCTGATTTTCTCGGGCAGACCGCTCCAGAGTGGAGCGGGGTCCTGACGGCAAACACTGTGATTTTTCCCACAACTCGACCGATTTAGGAGCTTTTTATACTTTTAATACTTGACCTACACTTTCATGATAATAGACCTTTACTTGTTCCAGAGTGTTTAAACATTTACACAAGGCTGTATTCGCACTTTCACTGCAGTGTCTGAATTCTTCCTCCACCGCTGAAAGTGTGACCTTGTTTAAACAATTGTCGCTCAGTAACAGGAACTATTTATACACGATATAACAGACCACAGTGTGTAGTCTATAGTATTATATATATATGTGTGTATATACAGTATGTACTGTAGCTGCAAGAGAGAGATGCTGCTGTCCTACATGTGGAGGAGGCTCCGCTTTCATCTTCAGTTAGCTATGGTTGTGTGTGTGTGTGTGTGTGTGTGTGTGTGTGTGTGTGTGTGTGTGTGGGAGCTCAGCTGCTGGAACCAAACAGAGGAGAATAGATGTAGAGCAGATTAGAATAGAGCAGAACGACATAAAATAGAAGCAAACAGAAGACCAGAAATAGACTCAACACTGAACTGTGAGCAGATCAAACATGAAGCTGATTCAGGAGGATTCAGAGTGATCGTCTTCCTGCTGATTTACACACAGAGACACTCGCCTAACGGTTTGATGAATCCTCTATGATGGTCTTCACACACCGAGAAGAAATGAAAAAACGAAAACACGAGACACACACTTTCAAACCGTTCACAACTAGACTGTCATGAATGCTCCTGTTTAATACATTCCACCGAAAATTAAGGTCCTGTATATACGACAAAGATTTCAACCGAAAATAGTAAACTTGAGTTGCATGTGCAAGAAAGTCGACCTCACAACAACAATGGCAGACTTCCGACCTCTGATTGTGCTGCTCACCCTGTTGAATTCATCAACGCTTCCCCAGCAAAGTGTAGATTTACTGCAGCAACTCCACCTCGTCGTCAGTCCAGACACACGTTCGTTTGGTTGGACTGGACCGACGACAAGGTGGAGTTGCTTTAGATTTACTGCAGCAACTCCACCTAGTCGTCGGTCCAGACAAACGTTAGTAAGGTTGGACTGGACCGACGACAAGGTGGAGTTGCTGCAGTAAATCTAAAGCAACTCCACCTCGTCATCAGTCCAGTCCAGACAAACGTTGGTGCGGTTGCTATTTTGTTTGTTTATACATCACCGCTCTGCAGAAGGAAGCGCATGATTAATTGATAAGTTGATCGTAAGAACAGAAATTCCTAAATGTTTTGACATTGGCATAATCGTTTTAGTCATTTTAAAAGCAAAAATGTCCAACAGTTCCTCGTCCCAACTTCAGGTTGAGAATTTGCTTTGCATTTATGACAGTAAATGAAGAGTCTTTGGGTTTACTGTTGGTTGGACAGAAGAAGACGTCACTTTGGGGAAATTGTGATTCGCATTCTTCACTTTTTTTTAATAGACTAAATGATTAATTGTGAAAATATTAGCAGATTAATCAATGTTAAAGATATCCTTAGTTGCAGCTCTATTTCGGACACCTGACGTCCACAGCATAACGTTAGCTAATGCACTTGCAATTGAGTGGTTCTCTGTACGAGTCTCTAAAGGATTTCGGGGACTTTTTTGGGGCAGGACTGTTGAAGCCGAAAGGCCTGATTTCACAACAGCTTCTCTAAAAATTGTGATGCATGTTGCAACGTTCTTAGACCTTTATTTGCAATGAAAATGCAAAAATAGTGACAATTTCTTTGAATAATTTATCAAAAACTGAAGACAACTTGTTCCAGTGAGGATAAAACTCCACTGTTCTCAGTTTGTGATTTGTACCACACTGACGTCACCACTGCATATTTAATCTAACTCACATGGATTTCAGATCTGCATTTAACAGCCTCTGACATGATGACTTGTCTCGTTTGTTGTCGACGTGTTTCAGCCGATCTGCTGGGGTGTTTCCTATTAGAAAGTTCTTGTTGAATCAAAACAGTTTACATCTGCCCCCATGCAGAACATCTGAGAATGGCCTTGTGTGATGTTTAGCAGTATTTTTTGTTGGTAAATGTGAGACATTCAAGTCGCACATGTCTATGTCTTTATAACCAGAAACAAGAAAGTGAGTCTGATGACATTGTGCGGGTGACTGCTATGATTGTTCATATGATATCGCACGAAATATGCATGCACAACAGGTCGTATGATATGCTACTTTTTTGTGCCCTATGAATGACGTTATGTCCTTAATGTACAGTCATGTGATTAACGTAAAGTCATGGAGGTTAGGTTTAGGCAATAAAAGGTACTATGATTAGGCATAGGAAAAGAAACATGTTGAGAACGTACCTTAACATTATTCACAATCACTCAAAGTTCACACAGATCTGAACACAAGTCCGATTTTTTGTCACATAATTGCAGCTTTTCAAAATATATGGGATGTGTACAAATTTGGGTGCACTGCTTTTCATAGAAAAACATATGAAAAAGCCTCTGAATTCTTTCAGCCTTTAAATCCGTAGAGTTTGGTGTGGTGAGAGCACTTTCATCCAGTTTATAGTTATTATTTTCCCAGGAACCATTAAAAGTAGGTGTAAGAGGTCTCAACAGTTCACTGGGGAAACTGTGGACTTTATTTTATTACCACACATTTCCCTTCTCGTAACTTCCAACAACATAAATCATCTAATTAGAAGTTGTGTCCAATCAAACAAATGCATCCAAATTGATCTGATGTCATGGTCCGTGGATCAGCCCCGCCTCTGCCCTCTCAGCCCTGTGATGACATCACCATGGGGTCTCCCTATGGACTGCTGAGATTGGTCCAGACTCAGATAGACCACAGTGTTCTCCACAGGGATTGGTCGCTGTACTGATGAGGTCATCCCTCTGGCAGTAGATTCTTTATTCATGAGAGCAGGCTGACTGTACAGACCTCCGAGCAGCAGCTTCACACTGAGAACCAGACTCTGGTCACTGAAATTCAGTTTTCAGGTTTCACAGCTTTGTTAGAGGCTAACGAGAAGCATCTGAAGCACGGGATGCTAACGTGCTAATTTAGTGATCACAGTGGTTTGTAAATAAGATCTGAGATGTATTTTTGTGGTGGAAGCTCTGCGGTGTCTGATGATGATGGTGAGTACAGATGCATTATGGGACACAAGAGTAGATGTTTCTGTCTGTCGAGGTTTGTCTGTTAACACAGAAGTCATGATGTTAATTGTTAATTTGAGTTTGAGCCAGTTGACAAAACTGGTTGAAGTTTGACGAGTCACTGCTTGAGCCTCTAAACCAATGAAAGGAACTCCAAGTTCAGAAACCACTTATTCCAATTGGTCTGTAGCCAGTTGGAAGGAGTGGTGGAGTTTGAGAACCAGTTAGAGAAACTAGTAGAGCTTCAAAACCAGTTAAAGGAACTGGTTGAGATTTGGAGCCAGTTAGAAGACAGGGTCGAGCTTCAGAACCAGGTAGCGAAAATGGTAATGGTTTGGACCCAGTAAGGAGAAAGCTGTGAAGGTTCAGAGCTAAAAACAGGAACTGGTGGAGCGTCAAAACCAGTTAAGAGAACTGATTGAGGTTTGGAGCCAGTTATGGACACTCATTGAAAGCTCTTAACGTATAAAAAAAACTGGTAGAAGTCCAAAACCAATTGGATGAACTGGTAGAGCCTCTACACTAAATCAGATTTATCTAATAACCAGTCAGTAGAACTGGTAAAGGTCTAGATCCAGTTGAAGAGAGCTGTGGAGCTACAAACAGGAACTGGTGGAGCTTCGGAATTAGTGGAACTGGTCAAGCTTGGAACCAGTTGAAGGAACTGGTAAAGGTCTGGAACTAGTAAGAGGAAGAGATGGTGCTTCAGAGCTACATACAGGAACTGGAAAGCTTCAGAACCAGTAAAGAAACTGGTAAAGCTTCAAAACCAGTTTGAAAAATTAGTAGAGCTTTGGAACCAGTTTAAAGAACTGGAATAGCTCGGTACCATTTTAAGGATGTGATGGAGGTTTGGAGCCAGTTAGAGCCACTGCTAGAGCCTCGAAGCCAATTAGTTCTGGAGTTTGAGAACGACAAGAACCAGTTGCACGTCAAAACCAGTTAAGAGAAATTTGTAAAGCTTCAGAACTTCTTAGATGAGCTCAGAGCCATTACTAGAAACTGAAAGAGGTTTGGAACCAGTAACAGGAAATGGTTTGGCATCAGAACTGGTTAAAAGAACTGGTACAATAATATGTGTTTGTTTGTGTTTCAGATGAGGGGCCGTACACCAAACACTCTGCCGGGTCGAGACCTCCAGATGGAGCGCTGGCCATCAGGAGACAGAGTATACCAGGTAACCCGCAGAGCTTTTATTATTCTCTTATGTTCTACTTTGTTTTATTCTTTGTGATCTCTCCTATCTGCTCCTCTCTGTCTCTGCTCTCTGTTGGTTCTGCTCCGTGTGGTTCCACCAGCAGAGCCAATAACTGATGAAGATAACAGCTCTGAAAATAGAACACACACTAACAGTTAGCTGATGTTTTCCATCAGTGTGACCTGCAGGAAGATGCTTGCAGTCGCAATTTATCTCCTCCCACCTGGAGCTGGTGGCCTACTTACAACTATCACACTGCTGCAATCACAATCTTCCAATATTTCTGTGACAACAAGTAAACATTACATCAGTGACCTGGGTCAGCTGTTCAAACACCGTCAGATATAGTAGAGAGCTGTTACAGTGATGGACAACCTTCAAGCGTCTGTTTCTTCAGGGATTAATAAACATAAGAGGAATGGGAACAGCTGATAAGAAGTGTTGGATTTTTCAAACCAATTATAAGAAGTGTTGGCACAAGGAGCTGTAAACCTGCAGGGCCAATTAAAAAGTTTGAAGGAGCAGTAGCAGAGGTTTTGAACTACATAGGGGGTAACTTTTGTATTGTCCAACCTGGACCCTGTTTTCCATGTTTTTGTGTCTAAGTGACTAAAGGGAACAACAGTTTTTGAAATGTGTCCAGTGTTGAAAGAGAGGCTGCAGTCTGCAGCGAAGAAACAGGTTGCAATAAAACCACTGACAGGCTGTAGGGATCCTTTCATAATGTTATCACTTAGAATAGAGTGTGCCAGGGCTGACGTCAAAACCCGGAAGTTTAGCATCGTGCTGGTTCCCAGAAGAGAAAGTGAATGTGATTTTTGCATTGTGTTTTGGATTATGTCAGAAAATAAGCTCTGTGGCTAACACAAGATTATGATACTTACAGGTTTTGTTCAGCGAGATAATCTTCACATATGAACACCTTTCATACCGCATTTGAAGCTTAAATGCGATCGCCAGAAGTGAAAAGCTAACGTTAGAGTAGTCATGTAGTCCACATGACTACTCCACGGTCGCATGACTCTTGACGTCACCGCCACTAAGCTTTCAACTGATTTCGGCCGCTTTATTTTAAAAACATTGTATAATGGGGAAATCGGACTGTTTAAGCTAAATAAGAAGCTGTAATGGCGGACTGCCAGCACTCTCGCCTGTTCGGGGGTGATGACGTTTAATGTCCCCGACAGGGTTTGTAGTCGTATTGAGCAACTTGTTAGCAACCGCCTTTTTTACGACACGTAAAAGCTTCAAAATTCACAAGTAGGGTATTTA